ATTATAAGCAGAACAGCTGGTACATTGGATGGATCCTAATTTTAAAATTAATATTGAATTTAATAAAAATTTGAAAAAGTTACACCCCCCGGTTTTTTATTGTTCAGAATATCAGAAACATACAATTTCGAAGCTTTTTTGGTATCAGAAATGCGCAATTTTCAGACGAAATTATCTCGGTTTCAATGAGAGATATCAAAATGTTGCCAACAAGAAAACTATTTATCATAATATCAGCAATATTTTATCAGTTGATTATTTTTTGATATCTTCTACAAAAAGCGAGAAATTTGAGCTCGAACTTTACATTTTTTTTTTGAAAATTTTAAAGTTATCCAAAATTTCTCGTGTTTAGGCTCATTTCAAAGGGAATTTTATGCTAAATTAGAATTCAAAATCGAAAATTGAAAAAAATGATTGATCAAAGCTACCTGAAGCATTCCTCTAATTCTCCACTTCAAAAATTAACTTTTTTCAAAAAAAGTTTTTTGACTTTCGGAATTTCAGAATTTCCGATTTCTAGACATTTTTGAAGTGCACAAACTAGTTTTTTGAGCTCCACACAAGAATAAAAAACTTTTGACCGCAGAAGGAATCGAACTTTTGGCCTTGTGGACCATAAATTTCAGTGCCAAAACCCACTAGGCCATTTGGCACACTTTTTCGAAAATTGTGGTTTTTGACTGTTTTGGTCCGTTTTTTATAGTTTTTCAAAGGTTTGAAATGAGTTTTCAGCAGTATTTTCAGCCTGAAAAGTTCATGAATTGTGTTTGAAGCTTTGAAATTTCATAGACTTGAGATTTGAAAAAATGGGCGTATAAGTATAGGTGTAACTTTTTGAATGTTCACTTTATATCCGTTAAAATTTGAGAACTTTTTTGAGTTTTCAGCACCACGAGAAACACAAATTGAATGGAATGTCGATGAATGGAATCGAGAGAACCACGGCAATCAATGAAGGTGAACGGGCACAATCCGCTCTGAATAACAACAGAGCTAATCTCGAGGTTATTAAAACTGTAGAGATATTTTATCCATGAAATGAAAAAATTTCAGATATCGCTGTCGAAAATAGTGATGAGAACCGTGAATGGCCGCTTCAAATTCTTGCAAAAACTTTCCGAGTTGAACTAAGCGTGAGTGGGAATGACGCTCTTGATGATTTCGACAATATATTATTATTCAGGTCCTGGAAATGAACTTGAAGCTGTGGTCGATCACCTTGAAGCTGTTGAATTCGAACGAGAGGAGTTCTGCAAAACGCAAGCAGAATTTTCCAACTTTTCTCAAGCCAACTTGTGATACTTTAAGTGTATTTTTTTTCTTTCTAATTTACAGAAATATGTGAATGAGAATGATAAAATTTAATTTTTCAAATTCGAAAATTCCAAAAATTTCGAGAAATTGCACATTTTCAGAGAAACCTTGAAATTCCAAAAATCCAAAAAATCTAGAAACCATCCACTACCTCTGACCAAAAAGATGTTCTAATTCCCTTCATTCGCATAGTACAGTAGCTATGATCCCTTCTTTCTTTTCTTAGAGGCAGTGGAAGAATAGGTACCTACTTTTGGTGAAAGAGTCAAAAATTCAGAATTTCAATGATTTTGAACAAAACAAAGTATTTACAATGTTTACAGTCATCAAAAAATCAATTTTTATTTCGAAACATTTCGAATCATGTGAACAACAACATTATTTGATTCAAATTGCTAATCACTCAATTTCTTATCATTTCCAAGTATTCCCGTTTTCCTATTCATCAAATTTGTTGAAAATTGAAGGCATTTTGAAAATTGAAGGCATTTGTTGAAAATTGAAGGCATTTTGAAAATTGAAGGCATTTGTTGAAAATTGAAGGCATTTAGAATCTACAGACATTTTTGTACGAAATTGAGCAATACAAATTTAAGGGGTTTTCCAGTACTTGTCCTCTCAATCTCCTTATTTTGCAATTCTATTTTTGGGACAATTCCAAGAATCAGAGAAGTCACAAATCGAATTGAAAAATGTAGATCCAGATGATTTACACTACTATCTTGAAGTTTCAAAACTGTCCATGTTTCAAAACTGGTGGGTTTTTAAAGGTGGTGTACGGTGAAATGTATTGCATCAAAATGTGCAGAAATGCATGTTTCACTTTTTTTTCGGTTTTTTTTCAAGAGTTTTCCGGGTTTTTGTCAATTTTTCTTCCAGATACATCGGAAAATTTGAAAAAACAGTGAAAACGAGCGAAAAAATTTTAAACGTTTGAATTCGCGCGCTTTTACTCACCGGGCGGCCTAGAAAAAACCTCGTCCCTAAGGGCTTTCAGCGTATTTTTCGATGCGTTTTTCTCGATGAAGGAATTT